AATTGTGTTGTTCGCTGGTGCGTTGGTTGACGATCCGCTTTTCGGGATCGGCCCTCAGCCTCATGCACCCAATGAGACAAGCAGAACGTGGACGGGATAGCACCTTATTGGCTGGGGGCTACCCAGCTTGGGCGGGCGATAGCTGTCCAATGGAGTGCGAAGACTTTCCACCGCCGAGAGAAAGCCCCAGGTACCCCGCTCCTACGTCCATCTAGCGAGGTTTTTTGACCGGTAAACTGCCCCTCACCGTGTTTATTTACTGGAGNAGAAGAAGGAAGCCAGGAGGTGCCCAAGCAGCTGGCTTTGTGAGACTGAGTTTCGTCTGGCCTCTACCCGTTGACCTTCCCGGCATGGTTGGATCTACGGCTGTGAAAAGCCATCCTGTGTAGCTCGCAGGGTCATGGAGGCACGCAAGCCATCACACCACGCCAAGGTGCAGTCTCGTCGTGACGAATGCTGACGCATTGGATCCTTCGGAGAAATGTCTATAATATGTTTCTTTTCGATTAGAGGAAGAGGTTAATGGAATTACCGAGCTCAGATTTTGAATGTGCTTCTGAGAAGCGACGCACACCAATCTCTGAACGTTCTAGACTATCGACCAGATCTGATTGTCTTATAAGTATTAGAGGTCTCACGTTAGACGAAGCCATTTGGAACGCAGAACGAGGTCGGAGGAATGTCACGGTAAACTCCGAGTGACAAGGCAATGCCGGAACAACTGTGGATGAGAGTAATGGTGGGCTACAACGTGAACCTACGTCAGTGGAACCATACAGAAGTGATGAAACGGTGAAAGGGTGTATTGCGAGTGGGAAGGGGGAGAGGAAGATGGTAGTGCTGTGTGCAGTTTTCGAGAAAAGTGAGTGTGGAAATCAGAGGCTCTTCCCATAAGTTATTGACAGTGACTTGTCGGTAAATTAACCTACGGAATGTTAAATTAAACAAGCAACGAGATTTGAAATAAAAAGAACTGCTGGATTAAAGATGTAAGAATTGCATTGTATACGATACGTTCAGAAAAGTTAACCATTCTCGCACGGATGATGGTGTCTGGGGGTTGGGAGTGAGTTGATATCAGCAACTAAAACCGTAAAGGTTTGAGGTTCTAGCTCAGCCATCATTAACGAACTGCGGTGGTAAGTAGCTTGCGTGCAGCCGGGCTGAAGACTACGCCCATCGTAGTAGATTATTGTGAGATTATCCATTGGATGCCGGTTTCACAGCGAACTATTGGGTCATCGTGATAGTGGGGTCCCCCCCCGAACACTGAAGAGATAAAAACAATCAATCAGTTTCACCTAGCATTGATTTAAACGGTCATAAAAAGAAACCTGTACGAATCAGCGATCACTGCTTGTATTGGACCGATATGACAAGAGATAATTTGCCAGTGAAATTGGGTGTGATTTGACCCCACGCTAAGGATCAAAAGCTTTACATCTGTGTGGGTGGGTGGATAGGGGGATACACCGGGAGCGAAGTAGATGGTAGAGAAAGAAGACGGAAAGCAAAAAATACGTACACAGCCTTGCACGAACGAGAGATCTTGGTGAGGCTCTGTCTTGACCGATTATGGATGGAATACAAGTAGTTAGTTCTGCAAAAGGTTCATTACATGTTCAATTTTCGGGACCAGATAGTTCAAGTCGGGGATCTTTTGACAAGTAGTCCATAACTGAGTCAAGTGACGTAATAATCCACTGGAACGGACCAGGGCGCGAACCTGTGAAAGGAATTTAGTGAAAAGAACCGAGTGAGAAAAAAGTGAAGTAAAACTAGGTAACTAAGTCATGTTGTTGGAAGTAGAGTAAGATCAATATGAAATAAATCAGTAGTAAAAGAGTAGCAGTACATCAAGATTGCGAAGGGGTCTGCTGTGATTCATCACTCTAGAATACTTCGAAGATTCTCTGCAGTTTAATAAATCTGGTCATTTCTATTACGCGTTAAAATACAGAAGTTTAAACGTGGGGGTTTTCGGAACAAGGTGAACTGTCTGGCGAAGAACCGAAATTGTAGAAACAAGCGTATTTTCAAGACGAAATATCGTTTACAGTATATGTTCTGTGAATAAGTGCACCACTACTATCTTATCCTTAGCAAAGGTAAATCGAGTATTCCGCATGGATTCATCAACCTAACGCAACCAAAACAGAGAATAGTGCCATCGACCTAGTTGAGAGAAGCTGTCGGATTGTGAATAAAAAATAGCTTGTCTTGAAATCACGTTTGGTTGTGCCAGGAGTGAAAGTAATTGGTACAACCGGCCGAACAGGTTGACGGTTAGTCCGATTATCAAACCACTCAAGGGCGATGTGCAGCCTATGAACAACGAAGTCCACAAGCAGTTTAGCTGCAGTATGAACCAAGTTAATCCTTCTATGGTTCGCCAAAAAGGATTTATTTCATTTTTTTAAATTACCATGGTCAATAAGCCGTAGATAGTCGTCCACTTTGAAGGAGTTTTGTAAACACTAGCACATAAGTTGATCTCTAACCAACTAAGGTATTTGATTTAGTGGCGCTGTGATGCGAATTAATCTATCTACCAACTAACGTCCATATCAAATTGCTGCAATGGTAAACAGAAGGTTCAGTGTTCCCGATGCTCAATGAAAATAACTGTTCCTAATTGTTTTGCTCCATTCCCTGAATGATAAACCTGGGAGTGAAAACATGTGCCATTTGAATCGTTAACTACCTCGCTTCCGGTTCCAAAAATTACTTCTTATGTCACTGGTCAGCCCCTCGCAAACGAGGACGGAGTACAACATGTTGGTGATTCGAAGAAGGCATTATGACAAGACTGTGAAGAGGTCCGTCGTTTGTGCTGGAGTTTTCCGAGGGCAGATGAAAAAATTACTCCTTTGAAATGCCTCCGAACGGTCGGAGGTCATACAAGATACTGTTAAATTGCAAAAAAATGACGAGGATGATGCTGATTGCAAAAATAGCAACAAACCAAGGACCCTTTATCTCTCGGGGCGATCGTGCCACCTCACAAATGAAATCACTGTTCCACCTGCGTTGCTTTAATGGTTTCGTGGAAAAATTGCATACTGCACTTTTTGAAATGTCTCCCTAGTTCAACAGACGAATAGGCAATTTGACCTTGTGTGAAAGAACTTCCCTAACGTCCAGGCGTGATATTCCAATCGAAGCTGTTATGATCACAATTCATGTATAACATGATCAATCTATATCGATCTGTCTCATGTCATTTTCAATGTTAACAAGAGACTAAACCGTTCCATAGTGTTTCTTGTAAGTTGTGCTTTGTATCTATTCGAATTGGTTGGATCAAAGTTGAAAGAGTTCTGTCCGAAGTTCGCGTTCTTCATTCCTGACTGTGAACTCACACGTCATTCAAATACGTGCGCCTAGAGGAAGGGAGAATTTTATGAAAATCGAACAGTACGAATCAGCTTTGCGCATCACAGCTGTCTTAGTATCTAATACGCAGAGTAATCTGACGATGTTTGAGGAAATTGGCATCAGTTGGACTAAACGGGTAAGTTAGCAGCACCAAAAGGAAACCTCATTTGTACTAGGACTATATCAGCAGGATAAAGCGTCAAAACTCAGTTACCTAGGCAACAATCATAGGTAAGAGCACGTGTAACAAAAACGAGTAAAGCTTGGAAAATGACGGGAAAGTTGACAAGAATTTGGCGACATGTGTGTATATCCACAGACCGTCTAAGATAGTTCACATTATTCTGGGCCGCGAAGATCAACTTCGAATGTGGAATTCTGATGGTACGGTAATAGTAGTTCATAGTGAAATAGTTCATACTCACCTTTTCATTGCCGTAGATCAGGGCCTCAATTGTGCTCACAGCGATTGCCATCAGACTGCCCGACCGATTGTGTACCCCATTAGGGTCAGATATCAGATCGCGTACACAGTTAAGCACATGTGTATCTTCAGATTAAAAATGGTGCACGAGAGACAACGAAAAGGAAAAGAGTGACCAAGCGAAGCACTGCAGTTTAACTCATACAACTGACGGAATAGAACCTGAAAGCCTTAGTTTTGCCTGTTATCTTTCTGTTCCAATAAACACATGATGAGAAAGGGACGCGATGGCAGGGTTGCCACCGACAGTGAGATGTCGTGCAGCACAACTCCTTTCAGTCAACCGAGTCAACCAGCTTGATGAGAACAATTCATCTTTTATCACGAGTCAGTGCTTGATAAAGCCCTTTGATGAGAACGTTACAGGAAGTAATAAGACCAGATAACGTAACACACTCTGAACAGTTGTGTTGAAGGGGAAGAGACAGCAAAACATTGTTTTCTTACTCAACCATTGCTCATATCAGGCAATAGAGTAAATACATAAAGAATGGAATGCATGCAAAAAACATGACTAAGAGAAAGGATAATAAATAAAGATAGATCAATTCATGTATATAAATATCTATTTTTGAGTGTGTCAATAAACAGGGTAAAGCTACGAGTGACGAGACTATTGAGCTGGAACTCCAAACTCAGCACAGGAGCATTACACATTGGAATCCTGTTAGGTTCATCAGTACACTCTAGTTCTTGAAGGCATAGCATATGGTATTGAATAACATACGTGTAAGTGTTATGTATAAACAGAACCAACCATAGGAATCGTTGTATACACGAACAAAGGTGACATAAAGCAACAAAGCCAAATGGAAATAGCATGGAGAAAGAGATAGGGACTAACCACCAGTGAGAAGACGGGATTTGAACGTGGAGCTGGTGCACAGATTGCGCAATGTTAGGAGTGCCGCTTCTCGAATTGGACCGGATTTCGAGTAGAAAACACAAGCGGTTAGCGCATCTGACATACCTGAAAAAAATTCCGGGAAGAGAGGACTATTGAATCCCATTAACTATCATAGCAAAGTAAAGTGGACGTAATATTATATCACAATTGAGACGACTGCAACCAAGGGATCAACAAAAGCCTATGGGCAATTAGGCAAACCATGATCATAAGCGTCATCTGAACAGCTGAGTTGTTTTATCAATATGGGTTAGCAAAGGTATGAAATAAAAAGAGAAATGGATCAGATGAGCAACTAGTGACCGATAGATGACAACACTTTGGAGAGAAGAGACACCTCGTTAAACGGCCAGACCTACTAAGAAATGATAGGTGCTGCTGCTATCGGTTCTCTTTCCCTTACTGTGTCTAAACAACAAACAGACACCTTTCTGAAAAACAGAGGATACACAATTTAGAGAATCTCTTAGATTTAGCCTCTAAGGCTGCTCTTACACGAACTCAAGGCAGTAGAGCAAATGACAAAAATAATAATAAATAAGGTTGTCTATTCAATTGAGGTACAGCACCATTTTATACAAAAAGAAGCCCATGAAAACTAAGGATATTATCTTTGGGACTTCGAATATTGAACCAGTGACGCTTGATATTGGCTCGTACGGTAATAATGCGTAAACTACTTCTATTTCTGAATGGGATTTGCCCACTACATGGCCAGAACTGAAAACAGAATAGGTCGAACGCTTCAGAAAACTGAACACAGTCCATCAAAACGTTCGGAGCTGTTCAGGGTCTGCGGAGCGACACAAGTCGCCAGGAGACCAGAGGACCTTTGTCAGTTGGTAACTTGCTCGTCAAGGTCACGGAAAGACTTGTTCAATAAACTCCTTCAGTAGTTTATCCAATTGCGCAACACAATGACTCTGCATAGTTTTGTCCAGAGAAAAGTTTCGATACTTTGATGATCAACCCAGTGGAAGTGAAACGGTTTTCGACGATGAGGTACACAGAAATGAAGCTACGAGGAAGTTTATGAAATAATTCGGTACATAGCAACTGTGATTTTTAACGACAGTTATGGTGATAACGCCATAAAACAGGGAAAGGACAGTTGAAAACTCAAACCAAATTGTGCATAAATGATTATTGTTATTTATTACACCATACGCATCTGACAGAAGCGGCGCTTTTGAAAAGAAGCGAAACGTCTATTTCNCTAGATGAACGTAGTACCCAATGACTTCTTATCCTTCACTCCAATAATCTAGAGTTCACCGTGCGATCCGTTTATAATTTGTTGATAGGCAAGAGCACCGTAGCAGCTGCCGACGCATATTGAGTTTGTGTGCATCTTACCTTAGAGGATACGCATGAAGACTGGGGTCAGTCGTGGCCCCTCGCTGTTCTAGAAGAGTTAATACTACTGCTTTGCTAGCATATATAGCACATATAGCAAGATGAGTTGTCTGGTTACCGTCTAGAGTTTATTTTCTGAGGCTCGTTCGAATCAGTATGGGGTTCTGGATGGAGGCAACGACAAAAACAAACAAACTTTGACGTTCATTACAACAACAAATGAACAGAGCTGCATCACTTCAACAAGATAAAACCGCGATGCACCTTTCATACACTGCAAAAGCATGATCACTTTCACATGGAATCCAGGTTTTTCATTGACTAGCATTTCGTTCTGATCTCAAAACAATAGAAAACCTCCGGGATCAGTTGATGTTAAGTAGTGTAAAGGGATGTTAAGATCTATAGTCCTCCTGCTGGGCTATAGCATAAGAGTACGGCAGTTTCTGAAACGCCGAAGAACAGTAGACATAATGGGTGTTTTGGATGAAAAAAGAGGGATTATGATGTACTGTACTGTACATTAGTAAAGCGCTGTTCCATAACGGACACATTCGTGAATAACACAATGCATGTTCATTTGGTTATCAAATTAATCACATTGTCTGACTGATCTTCGTTTTGGTGATCACCGTTTTAATTTGGCGTTTGTAGTGTTCCATATATAAATATGTCATTTTGCCGAGCACTGTAAGTACATAGTCAGTTTGAGGACTAATAGCCTGCATACACTTACGTGGTTGGGTGAACAGCATTTGTTGACCCTGTTTGGTGAACGACAGACTGGTTAACAGTTGCATCCACAAGGAGAGAACGAATTGTCCGCGCCGTGACTTGACTAACACCCGTGCGTCCAAATCCGGAAAGCGTGCCAGCAGCTTGGTCTGTGAAAGAGTGAGATAGGGAGTAGACATGTTAGATGGAGCACACACACTATGGGGTAAGATGAAAGCAGATCGGAAAAAAGTGATGTGACCTGCAAGCAACTTACTTTCAAAAGTGCACTACGCGCCTCTGGTGCCCAGACTAAATTAGCCAACAGCTGATAGACATAGCGTGTTGTGACCTCTTGTTCGAAACGCATTTCCGATAAACCACTGCTTCCGGAAGCGTTGGACTNCAACTGATTCCAGCTCTGACTACGGGACCACCCAGACGACCGGAATCCGATGGTCCGGTTGGTTTGTCCAGCGGACAGAGAAGGCGACAAACGTACTGCACAAGAGACTGGGTTGTGGTTGGTGCACCCGGGGCATCCATCATCATCAGGTATCCTGGAGAACTTCGACCTAAAACCCGAAAAGAAACAGAAGAAAAATATACTCAATTTAAAATGACGAGTTGCCATAGCTAGGATAATGAATAATGACGGGATTAGCTCTTGCTCTTGGAGAGGACGATAGTACGAAGCGTTCGGAAGGCAACCAGTCGGGTCAGAAAATAAACTATAACTGCTAGATCCGACTTCAACGAGCGATTCTGTTTATTTACAAAAGGAAAAGCTGCTGCCGGTCGCCACTTACTTCAAACAAAGACCCAAGATAAATTCATGTAACCGAATCTATCAACCAATCATTTCATCAATATAAAAAGAAGACAAATGTCGCGAGACGATAACATTTCGTTTAATCTTCTCCATCGCTTACTTAAAAGAAACAAGCATATATATATGGCACATGGGGTTATTCAGTTATGGTGAATGAACCTGTACAGGCTTACAAAGATTACTAAACATAGAAGGTCAACTCCATGGTAAGTGAATTGATTGTATCAAAAATTACTGTACGCATGAGGTCGGGTGATGTAACTAAATAAGCAGCGCTTCACTAATTGCCAAGAGTTTAGCATTGCAATTACGTAAAATTGGTTTGAAAGAGCGATTGGGGTCAACTGTGTGGCTTATTGTCATGATATATTTTGAAACAGATGACCCTGGATTTCTTGTAATCGCTTGACCATCAATTATCGGTTTCGTCATCAATTTCACCAACGATTGAGAAGATTAAAAGAAATGTTAACATCTCGCGACATTCGTCGTCTTTCTATAGTGATGAAATGGATAAACGGGACCCAATGTTTCAAGTAACCAATCATTGTCCAACTATCGTTAGAGTGCTTGTAGATAGATAGGTCTCATGGAACTCTTGATGAAGACCAACGAGGAACATACGAGCTGTTTTGTTGTTGACGCGATTCGTCAGCATGAAGCGCAAATGTTTAGGTTGGGATTCAAAACCCTGGATTACAAAGTTGAGACGACCAAAGCATTGAACAGATTACTTTGTCAACTTAGAACGTTTTGAGTTCGATCATCATAGAGCCTAGACACTGTGTATTGCCTACTTGTTGCGCATAAAATTATCATTGCAGATATAATCCATTCAACAGGTGGCAAATAATCCAACACAACAAAAATAGGATACTAAAAGGGATCAATCCAACCATAACGTTACGCATAGACTAACGAACTAAGTTCCAATTGGGGTACATACTAATTCCGAGAACACCGGGGAGCTTATGATTTTTATCCAGACTTACAATTTAGCTATTTATCCTTGAAATTTCGCAAATAAAGACTCAATATAACTGGATTCAGTTTATACAACCAATAAACGTGCACTTCCGGGTGGTGGTGTTTTGTCTGCTGTCGTTTGGCTACCTATGTGGGTAGAGGAGCAGAGGGAATAATCGGAGTGTTGGAAGTAGATGAAGACGTAGTATGTGTAGCAATTACAAATGCTCACAGTAAACCAATACAGCTCTGAAATAAACAAACCCGTTTCCCAACAATGGAAACCGTGCTTGAAAGATAGATGGTGACAAACTGAATGCCGTCAAACCAACGAAGATACCTGAAAAAATACCGGTCGATGAGCGGTTTCGTGCAGATGCACCTGATCGCGCAGATCCCAAATCGTTTTGATTAGCTGCTAGAAGGCAGGTAATAGGATGAGCTCGACTAAGTGCTGTATTTGCAGCCAAGGCTGAGGCTGCCGAAGGACAATCGGCAGAGAGATTGGTCAGAAGTGCCAGCAGGGAATGAAGCACACGTGTGTCCTGCAGAGCCAGAGGCCATAAACGATGCGCCAGCTGTAAGCACAAGAATACAGGAAGTTTGAGACGAGATAATAGGAACGACTTGTCAAAGAGATGTGAACTATACGATGTATCGTATAAACAAAGAATGGAAACGAACTGCTCAACCACACCTCCGATAGTCACTGCTCCCCATTACAACTGACCTTGTCGTACGTTCGCGCACGGTTTGAATTTCCACTATGCTCTGTCTCGTTTACACTTTTTGTCTGGTACTAGTGAAATACCAGCAGATATTTCACTCCAATAATTATTGTAGTAGTTTTTCGTTTGCCAGTATCGCCCGTGATCTGTCAAAGATCACAAACGTTTTGCTAGGCAATTTTTCTGCATGCACTTTGGTGTTTCGCAGGCTTAAAGCATTTTATTTGTGAGTTTGGTAAAGCGTACTTTTTCCTTCTTTTATCACCCCGTGTCTACTTTTACAGAGTTAGAGAACTGTTCATTTAGATATTCTTGTTTAACTTGGAATGGCGCAAACAAAAGGTTCCAACGCGTGTGGGGCCAATTATTGCGGGGAGTACATTGCCCAGGGGGTTCAATGCGACGGCTGTGGAGTGTGGTACCACCAGCGATGCTCTTAAATGAGCAAAACGGCATATCAATTCCACATGGAGCACAAGTCATTTAAGTGGGTTTGTTAACACTGGGCAACACTAGCCCAGGAGTTCAGGAGAATTCTGAAGCAGGCAGTGGCTCCCCAGAATAAGGAAAACAAAGAGAAACCGAAAGGGGTTACTTCTGCGTCATCCCCAAATAAAAGTGCAAAAATAAGAGAAGTAGGAAACCTAAACAGGGAGGTTGAACCACAGACCGGGTACAACGGATTGAGCAGTTGGAGAGAGAACTTAAATTGCTGAAAAAGAGCAGCGAAGTTTCGCTAGGAAGGAATAAGAACTTGCTCCTGCATAATTGCGCGGAGTCAGTTATAAACATGGCGAAGCAGAGACGAGACGCTGAACGTCGCCATGTGCAAAACGTTTTTAGGCTAGCAGGGTAACCCCCGAACACCCATACACCAAGTGTCATATAATTGGCCTGTGGAAAGGGGAAAGCTCACGTGGTCCAAGGCTTCTCTTAATAGTGTTTTCATACACAAACATAAGAGATCTACTACTATCACGAGCTTCAAGGATCGAGAATTTTACTCAGAGGCGTATAATAGTCACCCCAATAGACCTATCAGGGTGATGCACCCAGTTAGAAGAGGAATTGATGTAAACGTCCATCACACCAAAGACGCAGTACTTCGCGTGCCAAGGCCTGGAGAGCCTTTGAGCAAATCCACCCAGAAAGTACCAAAGACTGTACCTGCAAAACCATATGTAGGAAAGGGCCTACAAAAGAGGTCTAAAGAGGGCAATGCCGCGGTCCGCAAGGTAAGGTCTAACCCG